CGGAACGGACTCATCCTCGTCTTAGCCGCGTCCGACTTGCTCCCCTTCGGGTCCGTCCGGGATGCCCAGGGGCGCGGCGAAGGCATCGCCTGGGGGCCTAGCCCGCGGGCCGCGCGTCAGCGGCACCTGGGCATCGCTTCACTGAGTCTGGCCCGCGTGTCCCCACCGGCATTTGGCGGCGCGCACAAAGGGGGTGGAGGGAGGGGGGAGGGCTTCTTAGAGGGAGGCTGCTTCTTAGAAGGCGGGGCCTTGCCTTGCATCTAGAGATAAGGCCCGCGCCTTCTAAGAAGCAGGGGTGCTTCTAAGAAGCCCTCCCCCCTCCCCCCCCCCACCCCCCTCTGCGCGTGGCTGAGGCATGGGCCTCGGCCTCGCTGACCGACTTCCCCCCCAGGTGAAGATCTCTGCTGTCCCCTGCGGGCCTCGCGAGGCCTGCCCCCACCCCGGGGGGGGGGGGGCTAACCGGGTTGAGGCACCATGGCCCGGCGGTGGGAACTTGGCGGGCGAAGGTCGGTATAACATACACTTTTTCGCCGTCGGGGGCGCCTGTGCCAAGGTGGCTGGGGAGTTTGCGTACCGCTACGGTGACACGTCAAGGAATCAACTTTCCGGCTACCCTGCGACAGGCGCTCCCGGTGACGGAACAAACATGTTATATAGCGTTCTTCGCCCGCTAAAGGATTCGGATCTATCAGACGATACTGTGCCTGCGGGAAGCACTTAATGTCCAGGACCCCCCCGTCATCTGAGGCAACACAGTGGTAATCATCGATGCCGCTGCTTCCTGGACCTCTCCTGGAACGTGCTCTGACCAGAATTTCGAGGAGAAGCTGGCCGTGGCGACGAGAGCTCACCGGGACGAGCGTAGGCAGTACCATTGCGTCCTCTGAGGTGGGACGACGCTGAGCACCACCCTCTCCCGACGTCATGATTGTATCACAGCGTCGACACCCAAAGGTCTCGACACGTTCCCAGGGACTGGCTCTTCGTCCCGAGTCTTTTTTGCTACGCCCCCGGGTCCCAGCGAGGGTCCCCCGAGGCCGAAGATTAGCAATCAAGTCCTGGACTTCTTTGCGTTCGAAAGAAAACTGTGGGACGATGCTGGGCACCAGCGCCAGCGGCATGAAGGCCGCCAGCACCGCCAGCGCCGCCCGGCGCGCGCCGCGCCCGAGCGTGGCCGCGGCAGCCGCCGGCACCGCCGGGCGCGCATGGCGCCCGCGCATGGCGCCGCCCAGCGCGCGCGCGCGCGGCGCGCCGGCGCGTGGCCGCCGGGCGCTGGGCCAGCAGTCTGCGCACGGCCGAGCTGGCGCCAGGAGGAGCGCCGAGCTCGTGTTCCTCGGGCAGCGCCCCGCGCCTGCCGGCGTGCCCTGCCGAGCGATGGGAAGGGGCCCGTCGAGGTCTCGCCGCGTCGACGCCCGTCGCGGCCCGCCTGGGGGGGGGGGCGTCAGGGCTCTTGGCCGCGTGGCCGGCTGTGGCCGCCGTCCGAATCCGAACTGTTTTGTGTGTTCGGCGTTTCGACGGTGTGCCCCACGTGGGAGGGCAGGAAGGAAGCAGGTAGCCAATGCCCGCGCGGTCGCTCCTGGGCCCTCACGACGGCCGAGCCCTCTCCGCCGCCCCTCCGTCCTCCTGCGGCTCCGCTGGCTCCTCCTCTTTTGAGCCCAGACCCACTCGAGGCATGGAAGAGTCACAACGTACAATTTTCCTCCCTTTTCGGCCTCTGGGGGCCCTTAAAAAATGACTCAGAACGAAAAAACGGTCCCGGGAAATTGGTCGAGACCTCTGGGGGTCGACGCCATCAAGGATCATGACGTTTGGGGTCTGGGAAGCGCCCCCCAGTGTGGCCAGTTGGGGAGCCGTCAAGCTCAGCTGGGCAGCTGGGAACCGAAAAGCTCAGCTGAGCAGCAGGGCAGCTCACTCGTGGTCCCACCGCCACATCTGGCCGATGATAGACCCTGTGCAACTTCTGCAGGAAACCGAAGTTGCACTGATCCAGACCTGCAGGAGGAAGAAGGAAGACGAGGAGGATGAAGATGGCTCCAGTGTCGTAGACGGGGACCACCCCAAGTGCGCCGCCATTCACGCCCGCACCGAGCAGAGGTGGGGGGCTGGCTGCCCTGAAGACGGAGGCCGTGGTCTGGCGCCGAACCACAGAGACTGCAATGCACCACCTTGGAAAACCTACTTTCTGGCGGCAAGCAAGGGCACCAATTGTTCTGAGCAGATAGGAAGGAAATACGGGTCGGCCACCTCACCAAAAACAGCAGCGTGGGTGACCCGCAACAATCGCGTCGTGGTTCCGAGGTATTCCGCGAACGTGTATGCCGTCACAGCGATGGAATAGGGGGGGGCCGGCGGCGGCGGAAGACCTCCTGTTGTCCACGTCGACAGGCTCCCCCCAAACAAGTACCCTCGACCTGGCTGTGGTCAGACGCAGACGGTGGGGTGCGGGGGATGGGGGGGTCAGGAGAAGGCTGGAGATTGGGCACCCCAGATTTCATCATAGAAGGGTGGGCGCCACAACCCTCCCAGACGAGCAGTTTGGAATCCCTCCCCACAGACGCCGGACATGAGAGGGCGGGCAGCCCTTTTTGCCCAGACCCCCCCAAAACCCTCCGAGACAGCTCAGATCAGACCTTCCTCCCCCCCCAAAAAGACCAACCCCCTTCTATCGTGAGATCCAGGGTAGGCTGGAGACACATGCTGACCCACATCCTCGACGTCATGATTTTTTCATTACGTCGACCCCCAAAGGTTTGGACCACTTCTCCGGGACCGGTTTTGCATCCTGAGTCGTTTCTTTGACGGCCCCGAGGACAAGGAATGGCCTCTGGAACTCGAAAATGGCGAAAGACCTCCCGTCGTGATTTCTTCACGACGCGAGGGGGTCTGGGGATAGGGAGATGTCCTGCTCCTCCTCCTCAGCCTCCTCCTCCGCCTCCGCCTCCTCCGCCTCCTCCTCCTCCTCCTCTTCCTCCTCCTCCTCCTGCTCCTCCTCCTCCTCCTCCTGCTCCTGCGCCTGCTCCTCCTCCTCCTCCTCCTCCTCCTCCTCCTCCTCCGCCTCCTCCTCCTCCGCCCTCGGAAGACGCACGTCGGGAGGCAGGCCTGCCCCAGACAGGCAGCGCAGCAGCACCGCGGGCTCGGGCCAGGCAGGCCACGCGTCCGCCGCTCTGCCGACGCGCCGTCGTCGCCGGCGCTACCAGGGCGCGGAGGGATGATGATGAGGAGGAGGAGGAGGAGGAGGAGGAGGAGGAAGGGGAAGAGGAGCAGGAGGGGCAGAAGGAGGAGGGGGAGCAGGAGGAGGAGGCGGAGGAGCAGGAGCAGGAGGACAAGGAGGAGGAGGACCAATGTAAACCCAAGAGTTACCAACGATGTCGGAATAAACCCTCCCCCCATGCTCCCTCTTCATAGGCCCCTACAACGGTTCACTTCCACAGAGGGACCTGCCTCGTTGGAAGACAACCGTTTGAAGACCCTGAAGCATGCCAAAACATTATTCTCGGTTTTCCAGCGCCACTGATGAGCCTGACTGTTGCGTCTTGACGATCCTGAAGCGTACCAGAACGCTATTCCTGGGACCTCAACTCCGCGAATCATCGTATCTGCTGCGCCCTCAAATACTGAGTCCTTCCAGAAGGCCATTTCTTGTACTTCGATCACGGGAATCCGTGAAACACTTGCAATCTTATATCAAGAATGTGCGCGGCGCTAAGGCGAGAGCCACATATTGAAGAAGGAACCACCCTCAATGCTTGAAGTAATTGCAAACGTTTAGACATAATGCGCGCAACGCTAAGGCGAGAACCACATTTTGAAGACGGCCCGCCCTCAATCCGTGAAGCTCTTGTAAATCTCTAAAGCGAGTGTGCGCGGCGCTATAAGGCGAGAACCACAATTTGAAAACTACCCGCCCTCAATCCGTGAAGTTCTTGCCAATGTTTAAACCAAATGCGCGCGGCGCTAAGGCGAGAACAACATTTAGAAAACGACCCGCCCTCAATACATGAAGCTCTTGTATATGTTTAAACCAAATGTGCGCGGCGCTATAGGGCGAGAGCCACAGATTGAAAAAAGAACCGCCCTCAACCCGTGAAGCTCTTGCAAACGTTTGAAACGAATGCGTGCGGCGCTAAGGCGACAACCGCATATTGAAAACGACCCGCCCTTAATCCGTGACGCCCCTGTAAATGTTTAAAACGAATGTGCGCGGCGCTGTAAAGCGAGAACCACATGTTGAAAACCCCCCGCCCTCAATCCGTGAAGGCATTGCAACTGTTTAGTAAGAATGCGCGCGGCGCTGGGACGAGAACCACAATTTGAAAACGGCTCTCCCTCAATCCATGAAGATCTTGCACATGTTGCATGTTTAAAACGAATGTGCGCAGCGCTGGGGCGAGAGCCACATTTTGAAAACGACCCGCCCTCAATCCGCGAAACTCTTGCAACATGTCAAAAGACATATGCGCGGCGCGAATGCGAGAATCACATTTTGAAAGCTACCCGCCCTCCAATGATTCGAGATGCTTCGTGCGCTCATTCTTCTCAAATGATCCGAGATGCTGCTCAATGGTGCTCGCCGAGGAAAAATGCACACGTCCGAGCAATACCAAACCAATGGGTGATTGGGGGTCGACGCGTTTCCTCTGAGCCGGTCCCCCCCTTCATTTTGCCCTTGCAGGACCCCGTCCCTCAGGACCCCCATCGTCGATCCGCCTGAGACTGTGGGTGGCCTCCGGGGGCTCTGCTCTGCAGTGCGTGGAGGTTGCCCGAGGTTGGTTTCGAGCTGCTGTGGTACCCGACGGAAGCCACCTTTCAAGGCGGCCGAGCAACGTTATCACAGGACGACGTTGCTCTTCAAGGTTGGCGGTGCCCAAGCGGAGGAACATGATGAAGAGAGGAAGGAAAAGGAGGAGGAGGATGAGGATAAGGATAGGGAGGAGGAGGAGCAGGACGGAGGGAGGGAGGGAGGAGGGAGGTGGGAGGAGGAAGGAGGGAGGAGGGAGGAG